TATATATATATATATACGAAAAGATTATTGGAAAAATAAAAAATGAAGAGTTGAATTCCGGTTTATATTTTTTTTTTGTTGTTACCGAGTTCTAAACAATAGAAACTCGGTACAGGTGTGGCGTTCAAACACTTTTTTGAATTTTTATGCTGCTGCCGACTTCTAATCAATGAAACCCGGTACAACTGTAGTGTTCAAACAATTTATTGATTTTTTTAATGTTTGTATAACTTGTTTTAATAACTTTATTATAAGAACAATAGAATATGTTTCAAATGAAGGCATTTATTTTATTAAATTTTGTACAGTTGTTTTGCAAATATTAGGGTGTTTTACGATATAAAAATAGCAACAAATCTATAGATTTCTAATGATATTCAACTTACTTTTTTATTTTTTTAATAGATGTAAACAAGTATGCGTTTAGAGCTTTTCTATTATTCTATGTTTTTCGAAATTTGTAGGGGTCTATGCGTTTAGGACTCTATATTTATAGGAGTGAAATGAAATTGGCTTTCTACTTGAAAAAAAAAAAGAATTTGAGAGGATAACTATAAATTTAATTTAGGTCAAACCGACTCTAATCTATATGGGTGCATATAGGTCAACTGACACTAAGATTACGTTATTTATTTATAGAAGATATATAGGTTCATTATTTTATATTAATTAATATTCATGTCTTAAAAAATTGTAACTGAAAAAAATCAGTTATTGGCTGTATTTTTTGATTTTGCTATTTTGTTTTGATTTAACTTTTTAATTTTTGAATTTAATTGTTTGTATATATATCATTAGTATTAATAATCTTTTTTGTGATTTGAGGAATTATGATATTGCTGGATGTAATGTTATTTGAAAAATCTTCAGATTTATTTGTTTTGTGGGCATGAAATGTAATTTTTATGGCATTTGTTGAGTTTTATATTTTTGATTGTAGAATAAGTGAAAAGTACTTACCTTATATAGCACAAAATTCATTTGGGCGAGAAAACAAAAATCTTATCTATACATATATATATATATATATACTAGACAGCCTTCAGCTGTGAACAACACAACCAACCCACTACAAGTGTATATCATTTTATATATTGGCAATGTCATGTGAATTGAGTATAAATTTTTAGATTTAAAAAATTCATGGAGTTTATGTATTTAAAACAACATACTTAAAGAAATTAGGTTAAAGCTTCTACTTCCGCAGCTTGACTGAAAAGTGTCTCAGAGAGGAAAAATTAATTAACAATCAAAATCAGAAAGTAAGTATTTTTTACTATCTACAATATCTACATAAACATGAGGGATAATGAAAAAAAAAAATGTTTTTGAAAACTTAGCACTCTTCTATGTATCCGCCCATGTTCAACTAACTCATGGCTACACGTTCCAGAAAGCATCAACCTACAGTACATAAACATGAAGAGGTTAGATGGAATCTGCAACATATTAACAATAAAGACATACTAGATAAAAATACATTCAGTTTCAAGATGAGTCATACTATCAAATTCCTTGACGACAACAGTCAAGTTAACATATCTTCCTCATCAACCTCAGCAAATAAATCATACAACCAACATGTACAATTATATCATCAGGTCAAACTATCAAACTATCACTGTTGGTTTACCAAAATAAGAGGATACACATCATTATATTTGCTAAAATACAATAACACACACCGTTCTGGGATTGATTTTAAAAAAATAACAAAAGAAATAAAATATAAAGATATAAGAAGTTACATCCAAAACACTTTAGAAACAGAAGATACTTAACTACTTCATGATGCACCACAAAAAAATGCAAAGCAAAACATAGAAAAGAGAACCAATACCAGAAAAGTAAATGAACCTTAAGATATCTCCGACCAACATAGATTGGAGTCTTGTAGCATTGAAGACTCAGGAAGCAGTACAGATTGACTCGAAAATAGTGAAGTTCAAATAATATTTGGTGCTCTTTATTTGAAAGGAACAAAATTTACATAGAACCAAGTTGTAGTGTCAAGTAAGTAGATAATCAGTGAATGTGAGCATGAAGTGTACCTTCTCTGTTGGGAAAGCTAAGAAACCAACCACACCATCTTGTGAGTCAATTGAAGATTTTCCACTAGATACATGGCATTCAAATTCACACGAGCCACTACAGCTTTTGAAGGAGGTAAGGTCATAAGTCTCATTCAACAATTTACACGGGAACACAAAATATGCTGGATTGAAGACCAATGAAGAACAAACATTTCTAATATATATGCCTACACTTTTATTTTGATTATTATTATAAATGACTCAAAGGATTTTCACTCAAGACAGAGGACTTTATGCATCAAAGATACGATCCTATGAAAGGTATTCGCTGCATGCAAGAAAAATAAAGGTAATGAAAGGAAAAAGAAAGGACGTTCCAACTTTTATCTTCTTATAGCATCCATTGGTCTCATGAGACCTCTGTCCTTCTGCTGATGCATTATAAAGTGTGTGTATCAAACGAATTCTAAAAGAACTTTCATTAGACTTCACATCCTGCAATAATCTAAGTATTCTACAGATTAATTCATTAAAAAAATAAGAAGATGGAATTAGCACACAATCCCTCACATAATTTATATCACAACTTCCATCATAGAAGTCCTGAGAAAGACACAAAAAGTACAATAACTTCTCTAAAGGCCTTGCCACTGACAGTTACAAAAAATCCTTGAATTCTAAAGTCATTATTATTATTATTGTTTTTAAAAGTAAACAAATAGTTAGCATTTTATTTGTAGTCAACATCATCAAAGGCAACCAAATCATATTCACCAAACCACAAACAAAATCAACTGACCAAACTGCATGAGCGATATCAGTTGTTATCAACTACAGCTGACAGCACCGAGACCTCGAGAGAAACGCTGTCAGCTTGGTGGCCTTCTTTCTTCACAACATCTACTATTGCAGCAACGAAGTCATTAACATTATTCTTTTCACCAAAACCATGTCAGCATTATTACTATTAGCTCCATCTTTTTTTTCGTGTTCTGATAATTCATGTAGAATTTCTCTCAGAATCGATGTTGCCACAGAAAGAGGAGAACATATTTGCTGATGAAGAATAAGTAGCCTGACTATTCATCGTGCACAAACCTACAACAGTTATAAGAGCTTCGTCAACCAGTCCTTAATTCATCCACATAAAAAAGAGGAACAAATATAACAATTACCGAGCAATAAAAGTAAAGTGGAGCGGCGAAGTGGTGCCGGAGGTTCGGCTGCTCAGAGGACAGAGGACAGGTTCTGGCGGTGGCTGCTATCGCTGTTGTTGGCACATGAGCACTGGGGGTGGCGGCCGGGATGCTCGCCGTCGGGCTCTTTTTGATGGAAATTATGGGGGCAGCCGCAGGCTGAGTGTAGGGGACCCCAACCTTCTTTATCGCAACTATTCACAACCGATGGGGCAATAGCCAATAGAATTCCCACCACCTAATCCATCCACAGGCATAATTCATATATGAAAATTAACAAGTTTCAACAACTTACAAATGAAACTAAATGCAAAAAGAACACGTCACAATACAACTGCAACCGCCATGCTATCAAACAGAGCCAAAACATAAAAAGTGAAAGAAACATGTCGACTGACTCAGGGTTTTAAGAACACTACAAAATTGACCTCACCATAACACAAAGAAGCATAAATTTTCACAAATGAAATGAATTGGAAGTTCAAACAGTTGAAATTCAACTGTACCGAGTTACGAGAAGATAACTGATGGAGTGGACCTCGGACTGCGAGGCCGATATGGCAACGTGTGACAGAGCAGCCATATTCGTTTCGGAATTCGGAGTGACCTCGCTTTGAGGAGCTGTGAAACCGAGCTCTTGTTGGACACCTCCGTCATGAACAGGTCTTTGTCTTTGATTAGACTGTTGGATTCGATGTCCATGTATAGTGCTGCTACTACTGTGTGCGGAAAATCACCGTGCACTGTCTGTGTGTGTTTCATATTTGTGTGTGATATTAATCACATGGGACATAAAACCAAATTTGGTGAAATTCTTGTAGCAATACAACACAAATGATATTGATCTCCATGTCTGGCACCAACATCAGCAAAAGAACACGGAAAAATAGAAAAGTGAACAGAGATGATATAACGTTGAACCGTAGAGAACCCACAGAACAAATTAAAGGGCCATAGATTTCTTACCTTGACCAGAAACTTGGTGAGTATAATGTTGAACCGTAGAAAACCCATAGAACAAATTAAAGGGCCATAGATTTCTTACCTTGACCAGAAACATGGTGAGTATATAAACAATCAATAAGATTCTGATACGAACAGTGAAACGATCAATGCGAGTAACTTCGATTTTTTCCCGATTATTTGGGAAATAATACCTATGTCAATTTTGTTATGGAAGGCTGGTGAGGTTCCACGTTGATAGATTCTGACTCTTCTGCACTTGTTGAGATTCTCGACCAACGGTTCGCTGAAGTTTAATCATCACCATCGTTGTTCGAACAGGGTGTGGTAGAGTCGAGAAGAATCGTTTTCTGCGAGTGGGGCGGCGGCGAGAGGAGCTGAACAGTGTGTAGTCTGCTTTTTAGGGTTTGGGAAAATGAGAATTGAGAGTCCGAGAGGATTCTCGAGACATCTGCCTCAGTTTTTAATGGAAGTAAAAGGACTCATTTTAAATTAAAGTTAAATGAAATCTATACACAGTCGTTTCAAAGTTAAATTGAACACATGTCAGTTATTTAAGGTAGACATGTGTCAGGCTTGGAGGCTCACCCCTCCTTTTTATAGGTAAGAGAATATAAGATATATATATATATATATATATATATATATATATATATATATATATATATATACACACACATACTAGGAGGGTAGTGCTGTGCAAGGCACAACCGCCCAAGTTTGTTTATTAATCCTATATGAAGTATTGAATACATAATAAATAAAGAATTGGATGATCAAAAGTTACAATACACAAAAGCATAGTCATGAGCATATCACATTGAGTATTTTCCTTTTACAGAATCCAAAAGCATCTATATGTAGTTGAGACATAAACTTTTAGAATATTTACTTATATTAATTTGATGTTTATACTTAGTTATATATTTTTTCTCAAATAAAATAACTATTATATAGTATGTTAATATACATAAATTTCTATTATTTTATAATAATATATAGTTTTATTTGATATCTTTAATTTAGTTTGATAAATAAATTTGAGTTTTAATTATAAAGATATATATTACTATTTTGTAAATCAAAGATTACCTGGCCATGACTTAAAGAAGGCTCCATTACATGTTTTTTTTCTTGGTTGGTAGGTTTGCTTAATTTATCAGTATGTATACCTTTGATCATATTCAATGAGTTGTTCTTGAAAGTGAGGTGATCATTTTGATGGGATGAAAATATAGGCTTCATTACATGTTTTTTTGCTTTTCCATTTTTCAATTGCTACTTGTTGATATCTTTTCCTAGAATTCATAGGTTCGGTATTGCTATTCACTGTGAAGGAATTATCAATTATCTAAGTTCGATATTTTCAGTATACTGTATGTTCAACCTTAGAAACTATAAAGATCAGACTATTACACAAATTAACCTAAGGTAATAAAGCAAAAATATTAGTAGAGAATAAGAGGAGTCTATATAAATACGGGAGAGCTGTTAGTTATTTTTTTTTTAATGGAAAGGTACTATATATTAAGCTATATCATCTACAATACTATTTTTTTTATGCAACCAGTACACTTATTAGGTTCTTAATACCAAAGTCAAACAACAGCAAGATGCAATAACTTACTTCACTAAATTGTTATGACATAGAACAATTTATAAATTATATAGTTAGGAAAGTTTTAACTATTTAAATAAGAACAAATGATAGACAAAGATAAGGATAAATGAACATTGTTGCTATAATATTTGACTACACATATTTAGCATCAATAAACTGACTAAACATAAACAGTCAAAAAATTATCAAACATACATAAGAGGAGATGACTACTTGAATAAATACAATAAGCAAAGTATTTGTGAGGAACAATACACTGACCTGATAGCAATAACTTCTTTTTATTGTACCTTCTAGAATCCAAAGTTCCTTGAACAGCAGTCCCAAGCTGAAAGAGTATCACTTTAACCTGCAAATGAGTTAATAAATTTCATTGCTCATTATAAGCAAACCGCATAAATAAGTACATAAGTGAGAGAAAATTAATTTGATTGTTCAAACCATATTTTAAAGAGCCTTGGAAACAATTATTCTTCAACTAAAACTATCTATGCATATAAAGAGTTTTGAAAATATATTAATGCAGTAATATTCTTTTACACAAAGACATAGACAATGAAAGAAATGTTGTCTGATACCACCTAGATAAGGTCGCACTCTGAATAATAAGAAGTTGGTTAGTTTACCCTTATACAAAATCCATTCTATTGAATTAGCAATTGGTGAGTTGAAAGAGACATCAGTTCCTTTCTATATATTAAGTAAATATGTTTGTGTGCATAAGTTTCAACATTTGTTGTTCTGCCTCATACAATTCACTTAAAGTGAAAGGGATTAGCCTTTCGGCATCAGAACTGTATAGCATTGCGTGCATGCATCCCATTCCACTCAATACTTTCATGTTCGACACATTTATTTATATATATATATATATATATATATATATATGGGCTAGAATATCGTTATACAAAAAATATTTAAAAGCCATACAGTAGCAACAAATTACTGAAGTAAGTAACTATTACTTAACCAAAGTTCATTATGTACACATATGCATTAACAAAACAAATAAACAAAAGTTCTTATGCATAACAATAAAACCTATATACAGTATTTAGGTATAACAAAATGTAAAGAGTATTCTATTACCTTATAGCTACAGGAACTCAAACCTATCAACTCCACCAGAACCAAACCAAGAGTTTGCAGGGGCCAAATAGAGGAATACCTTCAAAACATTAATGACAAAAACAAAGAATTAGAGTTAGCCAAAGTATGTGAACCCAAAACCTTGCAAAAAGTAAATACCATTCATCTGCACACAAACAAAAACACATGATCTACAGCCTAAACAAATACTTTTATAATGTTACAGAGATTATAATAATATTTAACTTTATCAATAGGCAAACAAAAAAAAAGTGAGCACTTTCTTTAAGAACCTATACAAAATAATCACTGCAAAACGAAAAACTGGCAAACAAAAGAGAATGATATAACATGTGTAGGTTCTTAATACATCAGAATCTATAACCAGAAAAAAATGACTTTATAGTTTCATATAGGTATAAATTGAAGAGATTTCATCCTTTTGTAAACAAACAAAATACATTATTTTGTGCTTTACAAACTGAACAAATAAAACAATCATGTATTGAAAAGCCAATAACCAACAACAAATATATATTTAACAGGTAGCTGTTATTGTTATTTGCAGTAGATCTCTTCTGATTGCCAACAAGAATGGGAAGAACAGATAGTAATATACCACTTCTTAATAGCAGAGGAAACTTTTCTTGCTTGTACAATGGAAAAGTTAAAGTTGATATAGAATATGCTAGATATACACTACTTGAGGTGTATTATATTATTAATAATCATACTCATGACATAATTAGTAAAGTAAACATCAAATCAAGATGCTCAGGGCAAGAATCCAACGGTCCAAAAGGAACCAACATTCCCATACACCATACCCAAGAAAGAAAAATCAAGTCTAAAGCTGCAAGAAAATATTTGATAGACATTAGGCTGATCTTCTTGGCAAATATTTTAATAAAATGCCACTTGAAAGCACCGAAACACTCTTGATCACATATATCTGACCAAAGACTACAACAAAGATATTTTTTTTATATATATAATTCATCATCATACATGTGAATTCTTTACATATACAGGTGGAAAAAAAAAAGGTCCAAGACAATAAGAATAACCGATTAAACTGTAGAGACATCACAAATAAAAATTGCCCAAACCAACCCAAAAACTAAGCGGACCTCCACAACGGAAATCCAACAAAAATTAAACCGTGAATAAAAATTATGAAAAAAAAAAATTCAACTTTCCTGAATTTGCATCTTCATTAACACCTATTGTGTAACAGCACACCAAATTTCCTTATCAGCTGCAGCATAAAGAAACAAATATTAGAAAATATAAACCCTAGAGAAATGTGTGAGATCTTTTAGGTTAATTTGATGCTATTTCGATCAAAAGAATATGCAATTCACTCCTCACGAATGATGAAATTAAGAGGGCGTAAGAAATTTTTGCGAAAAAAAAAAAAGAAGATATAGAATAACACCTTTAGTACACAAGCAAGCCGTTACAGCAAATGCTTCACGAAGCAAAACCGGACTAATTTGCCAAAAACGACGACAGAAGATGCACCGAAAGCGCTGGCTGAGAACGACAATCCCAAGGAAATCATCTGTGAAAAATGTTGCGCACAGAAATAAAATGAAACTGAATTCTCTGAACACGAAATGAAAATACGCCGTTTCAAAATGTGTAAAAACGCCGTCGTTTGCAAATGAAAAAAAAAAATCGCATCGTTTTAAGAGTATCATATAGCCTCTTCAAAGAGAGCTCCACGCGTCAAATTAAAGAAGCACGGGTCTAAGATTTTTTTAATAGCAATAATACACGTGTCAAGTAAAGGAACAAAGTAACTTCTTTTTATTAATAAGAGTATAAGATATATATATATATATATATATAGTTATGATCATATGAGAATGGTAGATAGTGAAAGAAATAAGAATGATCATGTACCATTGGATCGGTACGATCAATGGACATGATGAAGTCAAAATTAAATAACAATGGTCAATTTATTAATGGCAAATTCGTAAATATATCAATATCTTATGGATAAATAAACACAATGAAGGGCAGTAGTGTAATTTCATCAAATAACAAAGTCAGTGGGCCTCACCTAATTGTTGCTCGTTCTCTACTATCTCTCCCTTCATCCCTCTCTCACGCACACACACACTAAAGCGTATCTGCCATTTTTTTTTCTCCAGCTTCTGTGTGCGCCGGAGATGCACCCCGCCACCAACAGCTGCCGCCCTCTGCCGCCCGCCGCCTTCTACCACTGTCGTATCTCTCTCTCTCGCCATCTATCCATTTCCCCCTTGCACAGACGGGCCATCCGCCACAAATTCCGGCGTCCTTTCTACCTTCTCTCCTGGCGTCGGCCTCGTCCTCCCCTCGCCTCCGCGTAACATCGTCGGCTCCTGCGGAAACCAGTCGGTCGTCTACATAGTTCCGCCACCCGCAGCTTCTTTCAGCCGTCTCCGGCATACAACCACCATCTCTGTCGCACCGCAGGCGGCAGTGCTCCCAGTCCCGTCGACCGTTGCATCTGACGCCATACCCTCCGCCGACGCCTGAGTCTGCTCGAGCCACCAACTTAAACCCGCTACCGCTGACACCAGTCCCCCGCCACCGCGACCAACCCAGCACCACCAGCATCCGCCGGCTACCACATTTCCTGTCGCCTGAATTTCGAATTTAGTTATGGGATTGAAGCTTAATGGCAGTTATGGGATTGCAGTTTAATGGCAATTGGATCTCATTTGAATTAGGGGTTCTATTTTGAGAATTTGATAACTCATAGGGTCCAAGTTGCAATTTTGTAAATGTTAAAATATTTCAATTTAATTCATGTGTTAAATTTGTAATTAGTAGAAAAATAATTAAAATTCCAATATTCTTGTATTAGAATCATCATCCCACTACCATATTATTTTATTTGTTTTCTCTTCCACCAACCACAATACATAATAGTATTTTATTACTTTTGATCAATCTTCTTCTACACCCTTTCTCCTTCCCTCCCGTCACTCTCCCGTCTTCCTCCATTTCCGGCAACTGCATAACAAATATAATAATAGAAATAATGATATTTGTTTACATAGCTCGGTTGTCCGGTTAAGGAAANGTAAAAAAAAAAAAAAAACAAAAAAACAAAACAAAACTTAAATCGGACTGACATAATCGAATTTTATAAAAAAAAAAATTATGTTGTCTGGTATTTTGGCAGGAGTTATAGACGCAAATTGTGGAATGTCGTGATAAAGTGCATCGTGTAATTTTATAAAGTGCAACGTGTTGTTTTATAAAGTGCAACGTATTTGCTTATAAAGTGCAATGTGTTGAGTGTCGTGATTAAGTGCATCGTGTTATTTTATAAAGTGCAACGTATCGTTCTTTAAAGTGCAACGTGTTGATTTATAAAGTGCAACGTGTATATTTATAAGGTGCATTACTGAGTTTATAGAAGTAGACAAATAATAAAAGTAATAATTGATCCGAAATAAGAAATTTCAAACCGACAATTTTAGTTGGTTGATTTTTTAATATTGTGCAATCATATAGTCATTAATGTGCAATCCGTATAATTATAATGTACAATCACAATACATAAAAATATATAAATCATAATAATAATATTTTTCATATAGCTCGACTCTTTCAATTTTGATCGAAATAATAAAAAATATAAATATATAAATTCAGACAATAGTTATTTCAAATTTGATCGCTAAAGTGCGGTTTGATACACATTAATGTGCAATATGTCTAACACTAATGTGCAGTACTTCAATCACTAATGTGCGATTTGTTGCACATTTATTATTATTGTTATATTATTTTAATATTTTATATTATTTTTATTTTATTACTTTTAAAAATCTCGATCGTGCATTGTGTATTGTGCGCATTATTTATTTTTCACACTGTGTATTGTATGCATTACAGTTGACACACCTGTGTTTTTTTGTGGATAAATGATTGACAGATATAATTAAAGTATTATGTAGAGTGCAACGTGTTATTTTACAAAGTGCAACATACTATTATATAAAGTGCAACATTTTGCTATATAAAGTGCGTGAATATATACCTTTCTAGATAAATTATGTGTATACGAAAACTAGTTACAATATATATATATAAGTATATCGAATTAACTAAAATAATTAAAATATTTTTATTTAATATTTTTTATTACATACTTTATTATTATAATTAATTTTTATACTATTTTAATAGTTTGTATTAATTTAAAAAATAATTTATTTTTACTATTTTTGTCGACTGGTTAACCAAATTATCCTAAATAATGTAAATGATATATTATGAAAAATTATTTAGTATTTTAAAATTTATATTTAAATTATAAATTTATTTTTGAATGACATAATATTCAAAATAACAAAAAAAATAATATGCATTTTACACAACCAATAATGTGCATCTCGACTACCATTATTTTAACATAATGATCGTGTATTTTTTGTATACATTTTCAATTTTAAGAAATATTGATAATGTGTATTTCAATTAACATTATTTTAAATTTATTAAATTATTTATATAATAAACACATATTTAGTAATGTTAATTTCGTGTTTTGTGCATTTGTGCATATTCAAATAGAATGTGCATTTATACATTTTTATTCATCATTCTTGAATACTCATTAAATTCCTTATAGATAGTTAATGAGTTGACGAATGACCAATTTGCAATATAGTTAAATTTACTTAAATTTCATTTCAATCCTTAATAATTATCTAATTTTCGCACAGTAGCCCCACCCTCAATTTCTTTAAACCTCTTCAATAATATGACACACCGTGAATCTCTTCAATAATATGACACATCGTGATTCACCAGGATGAATTCGGGAGCGGCGACCACCGATGTCTGGAAAGAGCGGTCGGATGGATGGCGGCGGCGGCAGATGCTGAGTGGCGGACTGACGGTTGGGGGTTTTGTGTCGAGCCCTTACTGTGGGTTTGTGTCGATTTTCTGAGTGTGTGCGTGTGTGTGTGTGAGAGAGAGAGAGAGAGAAGGAGAGAGCGGGTGGGGAGGCGGTGACGACGGCGGACGGGGAGGCGGTGACGGCGGCAGACAGGCGGTGGTTGACTGACGGTGGCGGGCTGTCTATTGAGCAGTGGTTTGTGTGTCGATTTTCTGTTTGTGTGAGGAGAGAGAGAGCGATTGAGCTGGTTCTTTGAGAATGGTGTGGAAAATACCACAATGCCCTTAATGAAGATATAATTTGGACTTTTTTTAGCCATTAGATCATTCGATCTAATGGTTACGGTTTATTCTCATTTCTTTCACTGAGCACCATTCTCTTGTGAGGGCGACCCTATATATATACATATATATATATATATATAAATCGGAGCAACAAATGATTTAATTTTATTATCCTGCATTTAATTATATTAACTCGCCTAAAATTTGAGTATTTTATTTTAATACTTTCAATTCCCGCTTAAAGCAGTTACATTTTGAGAGTAGAAATGAGGTGTACTTATTTTTATTTTTTTTAGTTTTTTAATTTGAAAACCTGACATATGACTCATATTTATGTGTAAATCGACTGTTGCAACTGAACAACGTGCATATTATTCAGGAAACCAGAAGAACATCTCCAAATATTATAAGATCCGTTCATTTTTTTGCAAAAACAAATCTATGTTTTGACCAAAAAAACATCAAATTGTGTAGATATTTAAAAAAAAAAAATAAAACGACAAAACAAACACTAAAATAAGACTTATATCTAATCTACTTCTGAAATCAACTAAAAACACGGTTTTACAAAAGAAAAAAAAAAATCTTATATTCTTAACAAACATTACAGATCTTGATAGGTCCGTACTATAATCGCGCTATTGAACTATTTTCTTGTGATTCATTGAAGTATTTTAACAAAATAGGGACGACAACCATAAATCAAAACAAAAAAAATTCAAATCCTGATAGATATGTTATGTAATCAACCGATTTGCGTCGTTTTACAATGATTTTGTAAAACGAAATTGTTAAATCAGAATGATTTTGATGTAATATCTCTATTTTATTTGAAACATTCTATTTAAAAAAAAAAAAGAATTTGATCGAAATATCTCATCGGAAAAACAAATAAAAAAGCATGATTATCGGCAAAAATTAATAAGAAAAATGATATTTGGATTTTTTTTAAGAGAAAAAAAAGCGTGATCTGCCGATAACAAGAGAGAAATGAGCTTGAATCATGGAGTGTTCAGATTATTTGAGTCGTGGATTTTGGAACTCTTTTTTTACTAACCGGTCTTACCGGTTACCTGATTTTTTTTTTAATGTTAAAAAGATGTGTATTGGGTTCAATTTAAGAATTTTTCTTTTTTTTTTTGCTTTACCAAATCGGGACCATTAAACAAATGGCTTTACTGTGAATATCGGTCCAAATCACCTTTACAGATTTTGTAATAAAAAATTAAGTACAATTCACCACATTTTTTTAATATGTTATCCAGCCCAATTCAATAACTGTATATGATGCAATTATTTATTCAGTATATAATTTCGACCCAAATTTTTATATTGACTAACAATTATAATAAATCCGGCACACATTTTATTATTCCTTTTTTGTTTAGATTTATCCAAAATTATATTATTTTGGTTTTGAGCTTTAATCATTAGTTTTTTTTTTTTTTAATTTATTACTGCATATTGCATTATATATCATTGATTTTGCTCGATCTTCATTACGTGTTGGTGAAGTCTTTCAGAATAGCGTAGGAGAAGGTGAACCAACACAAAGGTTGCAAAGTAAAAATACGTCTTATCGGTAAAAGGAACAAGGATGGTCAGTGGTATAATTTACCGTCAACTTCCGAAGCTGCTGCCTGCCGGCCTTAGTTGTTAACGATGATGCTATGGGCAGTCGGAATATCATCGTAGAAAATCAGAGCGGACATCTGCAGCGGATGAATGAGTTGAACGGTTCATACTTTGCTCTCCATTATCCTATCTTTTTTTCATATGGCGTGAATGGTTACCGGGTTTGCGCGATGGTACGCGTTCGGTTATTAATAAGCTCAACAGCCATGTCCTCAAGTACATACTTTTAACTGGTGCCAGAGATGGTGATAAGGTTCTTATTCCAAGGCTCGCATTCATTCCTTCGGATTTGAGGGTACTGTTCAAGTTTCAGGGCAGACAATTTCCTATCATGGTCTCCTATGCTATGACGATCAACAAGAGTTAAGACCAGTCTCTCTCACACGTCGTCTTAGTCTTGAAGAACCCTGTTTTTAGTCATAGACAGTTGTACGTTGCTCTTTCTAGAGTCACGAATCGAAAGAGTTTGAAGATAATGATATGTGGTGATGGTGATTCCGACGATAAGAAAATTACCGTGAATGTTGTATATAAAGAAACGTTTAATAATATTTATAATCATTTTCTTAATTCATATTTTTTTATCATGAGTTAAATTATGACTATGTATTTTTGTTTTTTGCTTTATATTGTTATCTTTTCTAAGTATTTTCCTCCGTGCAAATGCACGGGTTGATTACTAGTGAGAATTAAGTGAAAACAACTGCCTTATATAGCTGAAAATTTATGGGCGGGAAAATGTAGGCTATCCAATAAATGAGATAGCCTACAATTATATCTAT